ACAGTGGGAGGGCTTCTAGTGCCCTGGCCCCACTGCTGGACCTCCTGATGGGCCCTGGTATTTTTGGCCACTGTTTGACAGAGTGTTGGACTAGATGGGCCACTGGCCTGATCCAACATTGGCTTCTCTTATGTTCTTATAGGAATTCTCAGTCTGGGGCAAGGGATGCTCTATATTCTTGGTGCTTGGGGGGGGGCAAGAGTGGGAGGACCTCTGGTGTCCTGGCCCCACTGCTGGACCTCCTGAGGGCACCTGGTATTTCTGGCCCACTGTGTGACAGAGTGTTGGACTGGACGGGCCATTGGCCTGATCCAACATGGGCTTCTCTTATGTTCTTAGGTTCTTAACCCAGGATGAAACAGAAATTCCCCTCTGCATTGCATGCCACTTTCACTTTCTTTGATCATCGGGCTTTATGGTACCTTCTGCATAGATTTATGGCCGTTCAGGGGTGACTTTGCAGTCAGTAGGGCGTTGCCCCGGGGTATTGGAATGTGGTTTTGAGCTGGGCTTTTCCCTCCCAGCTGAGAAAATGTGGAGCGAAATCTAGATGCGGAATGCCTCTACTGGAACACTGAGAAAATCTGGAGAGGCAGGCAAATGTGGAAGGAACCAGTAATACCCAGTTGCAAGGTGCATTGAAAGGGGATCGAAAGTGCCTTATTTAGTGGGCGGGAAAGCGCCCTAAATTCCGAACCTCTTCCTGGGCGGACTGGCCAGCACCAACCGATGTGGTTTCCCCTTACGGAGCAAGGGGAAGAGGAATAAAAACGAAAGCCGGCGTAAAAAAGGTTTTGGAGGGGGCTGATGGACGCGGTGGGGGGGGGGAGTTCCGCCTCCCCGGGGCCCCAACCCACCTTTTAGCTTCTGCTGAATGGCGTAGCGCGCTTTCCTCTCCTGGTCCAGTTCGTTGCACAGGGTGTCTAGAAAGGAGGAGGGGGGGGAACGGTGGAGGGGGTCGGGAAGCAGAATGGGGGGGTCATTAACTCCTCCACCTCTCAGCATTGGGGGGGGAAGTGGGAGGAAGCGGGAGGTTGAGGGGGGGGGTCGGGTCAAAATCCACCTGTATCCCAGGACTCGCAAAGCCCCAAGAAGACAACGGATTTAGGAGGGGGGGAAGGAGCAAAAGTGCAGCCCTCCCCGGGGTAAACGGCCGGATTTGCAACGCAAAGGAAAAGGGGGGGAGGGATTCCCCTTCTGGGGGGGGAGTCTTACCCCGCACGATCTGCAGCTGTTGAACCATTTCCTCACGGTAAGCGAGCTCCCTCTTCATCTGGTCTTGGAAGTTATCTGCAGGGGTCGAAAGGCGGAGGAGGAGGTCAGGGGGGCTCCGCTACCCTGGGAGGACCCCGGGAGGAGAGCGGCTAAGGAGAGCGAGCCCAGCCTAGCCCCCCTCCGGGAGTTGGCAAGGAGGCATGCCCGCGCTTTCTCTGCTCCGCTACAAGCCGAATGAACTAAACGCCGGGCACTGAAGGGGACCAGCGTCCCCTCTAAGCTGAGTTAGTGTGAGCCAGCTCACAGTTTTTTAGCCTCCGGCTCACACATTTTTGCCTTCGCTCAGGAAGGAGGGCTCCAGAGCAAACTGATTTATGCAGCAGCCAAATGGCTCGCTCACAACTTTCATGCCAGCAGCTCACAAAGCAGAATTTTTGCTCACAGGACTCCACAGCTGAGAGGGAACATTGGAGGGGGACCCCTGCTTATACACCCCGGATATGACGTCTGTGTTTCGTAAGCGCCGACCTTTCTGATCAGAGAAAGGGGAAAGGGGCTCTCATCCTAGCCTAGCTAACCAGCCTCCGGAGAGAACGAGTGGACTGAGCTACTGGGTACGAGTTCACATCTGGAGCCCCTAATGGTCGGGAAAAGGGGATCGAAGACAGGGTCGCGGGGGGGGGGCGGGGTTAGGAACGATCCCCAGAACTAGCTTCATTTTAAACCGTTTTAAAAACCGGGGTTTTTTTTAGGGTGGTGGAGTAGGGCACCCGATTGCCTACAGACCAAAGGGGGCCAACAATGTTGAAGTCAGCACACTTTGCACTCTGGTCAGTTAGGTGCGATTACATGGAACTTATTTCAAGGGAGATGAAACCGGGTGCGCTTCAAGGGCGCACAGCAACCCAACTCCGAAACGACTTGGAAGTAAATAAACCTGGAAGGAACCCAGATTCCGTCTGAGACTGGCAGGGAAATTTTTACTTCTCGGTTAATTTATTATTTTCATTCATAATCCACCTTTCTCATCAGGACTCAAGGCGGATTACAAATATGTATTTAAAAAAAGACTTTTCAGACAATCGGTAAACGTATCACAAGATATGATAACACTATTTGCATCTCACGGTGAAGATGCCTTAATAAAACAAAATGACGCAGTTGGGCTGAAATCGAAGAAAATTGGTGGGGAGGGGAGAGAGAAAAAACATGGCACGCAAACGTCTGTTTAAAGCAATCTAAATCCAGAGATTCGGTTTCGGCCAACCGGACCTTTCTCTTCGGACTATTTAGCAATGCAGAAACACACATTTCAGAGACTAGGAAGAGAAAACCAACTGATCAGTTCATTATTAATCGGTCTGCCTCAGATACAGTCAGTGTTCCCTCTGCTGAGTTAGTGTGAGCTAGCTCACAGTTTTTTTAGCCTCCAGCTCACAGGTTTTTGTCTGCGCTCAGGAAGGACGACTCCAGAGCTAACTAATTTCTGCAGTAGCCAAATCGCTCGCTCACAACTTTAATGCCAGTAGCTCTCACAAAGTAGAATTTTTGCTCACAAGACTCCACAGCGTAGAGGGAACACTGGATACAGATTGATTCGGTTCCTAGCGCTGTCAACGGACTGGCAGCGTTTGCTCTTCATCTCAACCAAAACTTCGATTTCCCCCCTCCAGTAAAAACATTCCCCTTTTACATCATATCTAATGAGCTGCCCTCCACCGCGCATGACTCCAGAGAAGCGCCCTCTTCAGCACCTCGGACAGTTCCCGGTAAATCCCCCGGTAGAAACCCGCCCGGGTTTTCCTTTTGACCGTTCCCAATCCTTGGATTTACATCGTTATAAAACATCACATTTGAAGTCTCGACTTCCGAAATGTCTTACAATGGGAGGGGGAGAGGGGGGATGCCAATACCTTTGAGACTCTGGAAATCTCTTTCCAATTTCTTCCTGAGTTCCATTTGCTCCAAGAGGAGTTTTTGCAACTCATCTGTCAGGAAAATAATAACAATGATACAATGATAATTATTATTATCATGGAGGCGACGTGGGGGAGTGAGATAAACGCAGAACGCTTATTTCCTCGCGATCACAAGGAAGCACTATAAAATCCAACCCAGGTTACTTTAAAAAAAATAATCTTAACAACGGAGTATATTTCAACTTAAAAAGGGGTTCTAGATTTGTTCCAAATAATTCATTTGCTCCAGCAATTCCAGGATTCTTTTTTTTAAAAAAAATATATATCACATGAGTAATTTAATTGAAATATTATGCTAAAAGGAGGAAACTGGAATTGTTTTGATCTGGAATCGGGTTTTTTTAGATCCTGACCACAAGATCTGCGATCCTCTGCTCGGAAAGGCTGAAAAGCCAGGGTTACGTTTTAATTGTGCTCCGATATGATCGATCGTACATCTCCTATAAATCCACAGCTAGCCCGGGACACTAAAGGCGGGGAACTGTCGCTTCGCCTTATGAATTGGACTAACCTAGAGACGGAGAGAACTAGAAATTAATCTAAGCAAATCGCTCTGGTATTATAGACGCTAATGTAAAACCCACAGATCGGCCCGGCTAGCTCTCGAAAGCTCAGCGGGGTCGACCCTGGTCAGTACTTGGAGAAGAGACCACCCATGAAACCCACAGAGGCAGGCAATGGCCAAGCACCTCTGGACATCTCTCGCCTTGGGAACCCCTTGAGGTGGTCACCATAAGTTAAAATAGACAGGTCGGAAAGAGAGCGGGACTGTGAGGCTCCGAATCCAGCCGGAGGGCGCTCGGGGGACCGTGCCAAGGACCCCTGGGCCGGGGGGAGCCCCGAGCAGGAGTCCCTCCTCCCTCGGAGGCGCGGGAGACCGCCGCCACCGAGAAACGCGCAGAGGCACCCCGGAGGTGGCGGTCCATAAGAGGGCAGCCGCTGCACTTGTCGCTTGATGGCCGAGCCCCTGAGCAAAGGGGCCAGGTTTGCCGCCGGCAAGAGCTGCAGCCTCTCCCCTCCCCGTGCCAGCCCGGAACAATCCAGTCCGGTCACACGTTCAGCCGGCAACTAGCGGTGTGCGCGTGTACACGTGTGAACCAGGCTTTGGCTTCAGGGCGCTTCCGTCGCCCCCCACGTCAGAAGGGCCTCCCGCCACGAACAGCTCTGCTGAGCAGACAGACAAACCCCTTCCTCTCTGCACCCTTTCTCTCTCCCTGCCCCCCGGGCCGTGCCTGGGGGGGCTCTCTTTCCCCCCTCGCCAGCAATCCCCGCCGCCGGTTCTTTCCAAGGCCGGCCTCACCCGGCAAGGCAGCCTCGGTTCACCGCCTGCAAAATGGGAAGAACTGCGAAGAGGGCGGGGACTGCAGTGTTCCCTCTAAGCTGAGTTGGGGTGAGCCAGCTCACCGTGTTTTAGCCTCCAGCTCACACATTTCTGTCTCAGCCCAGGAAGGATGGGGCTCCAGAGCAAACTGATTCATGCAGCAGCCAAATCGCTCGCCTACAATTTTAATGCCAGGAGCTCACAAAGTAGGATTTTTGCTCACAGGACTCCACAGCTGAGAGGGAGCGTTGGCGGAGAGGGGGGCTAATGAGGATGTCTTTGCCAATCAATAAGGCTCCGAATCCGATTCGTAGAACTGAGATGCCAGGCTCACTTTACTCCCGGGAAACTCTTATGAAAAGGCAGCCTTTGCTGGAATCCGAACATGCAGGGAACTGGTTTTCATCGCTTGTGGACTCCGCCATCAAGCGATGAGGGCAGGCTCTTGTGGATGGGCCACCACAGACACGAACTCTACAGGTGGGACTTTCTTGTCTCACACACACACACACACACCTCACAGGGTTTCCCATTCCCCAACGATCAAAGCGCTTCCGAACATTGTAAATAACAGTTTCAATCCGCTTTCAGTCCACTTTGCAACGGGATTTTACTGTGTGTGAACCCGCAAAATCCACTTGCAAACAGTCGCTGAAGTGGATTGAAACTGCATTATTGAGCATGTGCGAAAGAAGAGATCTGCCTTCACGCAGCCGCTGGATCGGGCCCCTTAGGGCGATCCTGCGCATATTTGCTCAAACGGATCCCAGTGGGACTTACTCCCGGGTAAACCCGCGCAGGTCTGCAGCCCTCGTTGCCCTGAAAGAGGCCGGAAGCCTACAGAGGTGTTTCCCCAGGAGAAAGCCCCATCGAACGACTCGGAGGGAGTTTCTTCCGAGGAAGCGAGCTCGGGATCCGGCCCTGGCGCCAGAAAGGACGGGGACTCCGGCAGAAGCGGGAGCTGGAAATAGCCCGCTAAGCGGATCAAGGCATTAGCCTCCTGCCTTAACTACACCTCGCCGCTCAGGCCGGGTTGGCCCCCGGAGCCCGCGAGGCCGAGGAGCGAACCGGGGCACCCCCGCAGCCAAATCCCCCCCCCCTGAAATTCAGGGCCGGACTTACAGAGTTGCGGGGCGGCGGGTGGGCGAGGGAACCGGCTGGCAAAGCGCTGGGGGGCGGCTTGAGTTGGAGCGCCCCCCATAGTTATTTAGGAGAGGCAGAGAAAGGCGAGGCGGGAAGCGGCCTTCGACTGAATCAGACCCTAAGCCCATCATCACAGTCGGAATCGTCTGCTCGGACTGGCAGCTGCTCTCCGGGGTCCCAGGCAGAGAAAGGCCTTCCCCATCACCTCCTGCCTCATCCTTTCAACGGGAGAGGCCAAGCAGCTATTCTGCCACTGCCGCAGGGCTCCTTCCGTTGGGTCCTGAGCAATGCTCCCTCCAAGCTGTGGAGTCTTCTGAGCCAAAATTCTACTTTGCGAGCGAGCGACTGTGGCGACTGCATAAATCAGTCTGTTCTGGAGCCCTCCTTCCGGAGCGAAGACAAAAGTATGTGAGCCGGAGGCTAAGAAACGGTGAGCTAGCTCGCACTAACTCAGCTTAGAGGGAACACTGGTCCTGAGAGTTTAAGAACCGGGCCCCCAACTCCCTTTTTTTGGGGGGGAACCTTTGACTTGGGAGCGGCAGGGACCGCGGGGTCATTCTGGTTTGCTTGTCCCTGCCCAGCCAAAGGGGCTCCCTCCAACCCCATCTGGAGGTGCCCCCCCCCCAGGTGCCTGATCCGGGCAAAAAACTGCCAAGGGCTCTTCCCCCCACACACACCAGGGATGTCGTATATCCAGAAACGAGCACCCCCAGATCCCAGCGAGAAAGGGCCCGATCCGCTCTCAGCCTGGCCGGGTGGCACCCGGGAGTAAGAACCTGGCTGCTCAAATCCGGCCCTGGCGTGCGCTGGCACCGCTCCAGTCAGCTTCCAGGGGCTGGGGCGGGGCGAGGGGGAGACGCGGCTTCCCCGGGGCCGATGGCAACGAAGCCCAGACTGACCTCGGTCGGGGTGGGCCGGGCTGGCCTGCGAGGCGGTCCTTTGGTCGTGATAGGATTTCTTATTCTCCAAATCCTCGCCGGCGGGCTGATTGTCTTCCTTATCTGCTTCTTAGAGGGAGTAAAGCGATTGTGAAGCGCAAGCAACCAAAGCCTGAGCCTTAACTACCGAATTAAGGACAGAGCCCTCGTTAAAGCCCGCTTAGGGGGCCGCCTAATCGCCTTGGGGAGGAAAGGAGCTTGGTGCGCCCTGGAGGGGTGGGGAGGAGGCCTTCGGGCGGCCCGGCCCCGGCAGGAGCAGAGAGGAGGCCGGAGCACCGAGCTGGGGCCGCCGGGAGAGATCCTGGCTCGCCGGGGACCGGTTCGGGGCCAAGGGGCGGGAAAGCGGGCGGCAAAACCCGACTCTCCTGGGGACCTCCCCGGTCAGAGGAGGACCCAGATCACGCGCAAAAGCGCACCGGTGTGAACTAAACCAAACCAAAATGTTGGCGGCGGAGGCGGGCACGGCGCCCACCTTTCTCTTCGCCTCCATCGTAGACAGAAGAGGGGAAATCAAGGGCAGGCCCGACAAGGAGGGGGGGGGTCGTCTCTGGATTCGTGGAAGAGCCATCCAGAGACGGGCGCCCCAACAGAAGACCCCGCCACAAACACTAAACACACGGGGGACATCCAAGCGCCCTCCGCGCGCCCCGCATCGAGGTCCCCCGGCTATTTAAGGGCCAGGTGCTGGTTTGATTACCGTTCCTCTCGGGGGTGCAGAGGTAAGCGGTTGTCTGGGGGCCCAGGGGGGCGCTGGGCTTCAGAGCCTGGGGGTGGTCGTCTCTTTCTTGGGGGTACACCTGCGGGAGAGAAAGGAAAGGGGCGGAGTTGGCGAGGCGGCTCCGCGGAAGGCCAGCCACACCGCCCCGCGACGCCCAGGCCGGCCAGAGAGAGTCTTCATAGACCGGTGGTGGTGGGGGGGGGGGGGGCAGAGACACACCCAACCCCCGCCGCTTTTGCAAAAAAAGAAATCCTCAAGGTGGGGGGGAGATACCTTTTCATGCGGCTGGAGGGGCCGTAGGAAAAAAGCCGCCTCAGCTGCGACCGCCTTAATTAGAGGTATAATTATAGGTGCTCGAGAGAAAATTGCCCCCCTTCAAAGGCATCCCTCGAACTCGAGAGCTTTCCCCGGCCGGCCGGCCTGCCCACCCGCCCCACCTCCTCCCTCCCTTCGCTGTCGTCCCCCCCCCCACCCCTCTCTCACAGACCCCC